CTTGTCCCAGGGACTGCGAATGACAATGCTGCACCATGACAGCGTGAGCCAGCATGGCAGCTGGCTCTCAGTGGACTCTAACAGTGGGACTTTGGTCCTTGTTTTAGTTGCTGTGTCTATGAAACTATCCAAAGCACAGCCCAGCATAGCAACTAATTAGGCAGATAAGGCTGTGTGTTCCCAGGACATGATTAATTACCACTGAAAATAAGTGAAGATGTTCTGCAAGCTGCCTTGCCGAGAGATTTCCCTGCTCCCAACTCCTCATGAACCACATCCAAGTGCACCAAGGGGACATCTCTGCCAAGCCAGATGTTGGCTTACTGTTTGTTCCTGAACGTGGGGAATTGTGAAGACCTCGATCATTCACAACTCTGAGCACTGAACCTTGTCTACTGGCCCTATACACCCTGTGGAGCAGCGGGGAGGAGCTCCCTGAAGCATCTTTTAAAAAAATATATATATATTACAGAGGAAAATCGATCTGTAGAATGGATACAGTATCTAGGCTCTTGGTCTTGAGGGAGAGGTAAGTGAGGATGTGGTGGAAGGTCCAACCAAGAGCTTGTCTGGGTGAGGTGGTCAACCACAGGCCTCAAGATTGCCTCCAGCAAGAAGGAAAGAAGAGGTGAGCACATCATCTCACTAGAGATGAGCCTGGGGGAACAATAACAGGACTGGGGGTGAGGCAAGGGGCTCAGCTGAAGTGCATCTACACCAGTGCACACAGCATGAGCAACAAACAGCAGGAGCTGAAGGCCATTGTGTGGCAGGCAAACTGTGACTTAGCTGCCACAACGGAAACTAACGGACTGCTGCAATGGATGGGTATGAGCGCTCCAGAAAGGACAGACAAAGAAGGAAGGGCGGTGGTATGACTCTCTATGTTAGAGAATGTTTCAAAGCTGTTGAGCTCAGGGCTGGGAATGACAAGGTTGAGTCTCTACAGGTAAGGATCAGGGGAAAGCCAACAAGGTGGACATCCTGTGGGGGGTCTGTTATAGACCACTAAACATGGATGATGAGACAGGTGAGGGGATCTATGAACAGCTGACAGAAGCTGTGTGATTGCCAGCACTTGTCCTCATGAGGGAATTCAACTTCCCTGATACATGCCAGAAATACAATGTGGCGCAGAAGCAGCAGTCTAGAAGGTTTCTACACTGTGCGGAAGATCCTGGTGCAGCTGGCAAGAGAGCCTACAGGGGAGGTGCCTTGCTAGACCTGCTGTTCACAAACAGAGAAGGACCGGTAGGAGATGTGGAGGTCAGGAGCTGCCTTGGACAGAGTGACCGTGAAATGGTAGAGTTCTTGATTCTTGGTGGAGCCAGGAGACGAGAGAACAAATCTGCTGCCTTCTGGAGGGCAGACTTTGAATTGCTCAGGAGACTGGTAGGGAGGGTCTGTTGGGATTCAATCTTGGAGGGTAAAGGAGGGGCTGGTCGCTTCTCAAGAAGGAGCAGATGAGCAGGCTGTCCCCTGTGCCATAAGATGGGCTGGTGGAGAAGAAGACCAGAGTGGATGAACAGGGAGCTTTTCTTGAGCCTCCAGGAGAAAAAGGGAATCTACCTCCTATGGAAGAAGGGATGAGGAACTTGGAGAGAGTACAGAGAAGTTGTTAGGATGTGAAGGGAGAAAATTAGAAAGGCAAAAGCCCAGCTTGAACTCAACCTGACCACTGTAGCAAATGAGAACAAAAAAACTTCTCTACAAATATATTAACAGTAAGAGGAATGCTAAGGAGAATCTCTTTCAATTCACTGTAACAGGGAGAGGTAAAGTGCAAGCAGTGTAGATATAATGTGGCACCTGGAAAAGAACTCTCATGCCCAAATTTGCTTATCCTATGAATTTAGGTCCAAAACTCAGTGTAAACTGCGTTTGAGTTTCACTGATGGCACTTTGCTTATGCCAATTCTGAGTTCCCCCTTTCTCAAACTGGGAATTATATTCCCAGGTATTAACACACCTGTTGATATGCTTCTCTTTAGTGTAAATTATCTGCAAAATGATGTTAATTGACTGCTGCAGTGTACCTCTGGCTGCTTGTTTGCATCTCAGCAGAAGACTAGCCTGCAACTGCAAGGCTAATAGCAGTTTGTTCATCACGTGTTGGCACTTCTAAAAATGGTTGGCAGTGTTTGTTCAGAAATTGGGAAGGGATCTAATGATCTGGAACTAATCTAATTTGCATGGATATTTTACCTTAAAAGCCACCTTGAACTAAAATTAAACTGCAGAAATGCTTAGGAAGGCAGAGAAGATGAGATTGAGTCAATAGAGACAAACAGAAAACAACATTTCTCTTAAGGAAACTGAATTGCTCTCTGGAGATTCCTGTTTATCATTGTGGATTGTTTAGAGAGCCCAATATCACAGAATCACAGAATGATCACAGAATGGCCAGGTTTGGAAGGGACCTCAAGGATCATGAATTTCCAACCCCCTGCCACACACAGGGCCACCAACCTCCCCATTTAATACCAGACCAGGCTGCCCAGGGCCCCATCCAGTCTGGCCTTGAACACCTCCAGGGACGGGGCATCCACAACCTCTCTGGGCAGCCTGTTCCAGCACCTCACCACTCTCATAGTAAAGAACTTCCCCCTGACATCCAACCTAAATCTTCCCTCCATTCAAACCATTTCCCCTTGTCCTGCAGTTATCTACCCTTTCAAAGAGTTGATACTTACAGAACTTACAGTACTGCTCAGGTGACCAGCTAGGGTTGTATACTTATTTTTAGCACCCAGTCTGTTAAGACTACTTCTCTCCAAACATATGAGTGCAAGTTGCTTATTTCCATCTTGATCCCAGAGGCTCTAATGGTGTTGTGCTGACATCGCATGGATGGAGCAGTACTCCCAGGTGGCCTGGGTTCAGGTTTTCCCCATGTAGACAGCACCCAATGTCACCTCTAACTCATGGCTAACTCTAGGTTGTCTCTCTATGTAAAGAGGGCATAGTGTTAGGAGTTAGAGAGTGCTTGGGGTTGCATTTAAACTACAGTATAGACTCTGCTGCTGAGAAATGCTAGATTTAAACCATTTGTCTCAATATTTTGGAAAATATCAATTTGTGTGGCTATTTCTCTTTTGAATTTAGCTAGAGAGGAGGTTCTGTAGAACACTGCGTGTGTGTTGCTGGACTTCTTCAGGTTCAGCCTGCCCGGCACCCTCATCTGCTGAGCTTTCAGCACTGGCATGGGTACAAGAAACATTCACCACTGTGGTACAGACAACAAAGGAGATCTCATCAGCGCAGGAGCCAAATGGCCTGGAAAAATAGTTGTTCCCTGTTCAAGCATGCAGGCTGCATCTCTGCAAGGAGTCAAGCCAGCCAAGTATAACATCTTGAGAAAGGTAAAGGATCTGCATTAATCTTCATCTGTTAGTGAATGAGCCTGCTTTCCTGCAAGCCAGAATTCTGCATTAACCAAATTGCTCACCTTCCTGCAGAGAAAATAGCTACACTTATAAACTGCATAGGGTTTGAGTGCATGTTGGCAGGCAGAACCTGGTAGCAGACACGAAAAGGCCTGTGGTAACAGGCAGCCATCTCAAATGAGGGTGCAGGTAACACAAAAGGTGGGGAGCTGCAATAGCCAAAACAAAGTGGAAACTGCAGCTCCCGTTGTGTCCTCAGGCCCCTGTCACTGCACAGAAACTCTCTGTGGGGAGTCAGGTGTTGTAACAGATGCTCTGCCCCACTGACAGCCCATCCAACCCACACATCAGCAGCTTGTCTGTAAAGATCTTAAGGAAGATAGTGCCAAAGGCATTACTGAAGTCCAGATAAACAATATCCACTGCTCTCCCCTCATCCATCAGAGTGATCATTTCATTGTAGAGTTTCATCAAGGTGGTTAAGTATGACTTCCCCTTGGTGAATCCATGTTCATTTCACCTGGTGATTTTCTTGCCCTTCATTTGCCTGGAAGTGATTTCGAGGATTAGCTGCTCCATCACATTCCCAGGGATCAAGGTGAGGCTGACAGATTGCTGGTCCCCAGATCCTCCTGCTTGCCTTCTTTGAAGTCAGGAGTGACATTTTCTTACAAGGCACTTACTCCTCCTATTTTATGGGAAAATAAGCCAGCCTTAGCAAAGGTTCGGTAAAACAGCATCATGGCTGAAGAGATGTCACATGAGAGAGGGTTTTTCTGGCCTGACCTTGCTGGCATAGATATTGCTTCGATATCTGGAAATATTTAAGAGTTAAAGGGTGCCTCAGGAACCAGGGAGAGGATTATTTCAACTCCAAACTTCCATGTTTTAATTCCATCCATGCATTCACAAATAACATCTGGCTCGCCTCTGCTCAGGCAACATTGGCTTTGTGAGTGCAGAGACAGAATAAGATGTTACAGTCCCAATGACTGCCACCTCCTAATGATTCTCATGACACTGGGCCTGCAGCAGTCTCAGTGGCTGGTCTGAGCACTGAGGCCTCAACTCGGCAGAGGAAATGCCTCAGTACACATCTACACAGTAAATGAAGTAAGAACAACAAAGAAAAGAAGATCATTAGGGAAACCTATCCAATAATAATGCAAATTAGTCCCCCTGCACAAAGACATTCACAGACCCTGGGATTTTGTGTACTTATTCCTTCTATTAAATGTGACATACTGAAATCTTCCCTTTGCCAAAAATGCTCTTCCACTCTCTCTGACCTCACTTAGACAAAAGGGCAGACTAGAAGAGAGATAAATACAATTTATGAAACACTTGGGACTGCTGCAAAAAAAAGCCAGGCATAAAACTTTAATGAAACATATAATATTTTAAAATGTTTTATTTTGCTGGAACCTCTGAACAATTGATTGCCAGTAACATTCAAAAGTTCATTGTTTCTCTATCAATTGTTCCCTTTCTTACATGGAGCTGAATTTCTCCCTCCATGCTATTGTTGCTGCTTCTCCTGTTTCCTCTTTGCATCTAAACTTGCAGCACCAACTGCCTAATGTAGGTGAAAAGATACCCTAAATGTACCTCTGCTATTGGTTACAGCTTTAAAAAAAAGGACTGTTTCTTGAAACAGCATGGGGTGTTTGCACAGTGTGAAAGGTCTCTGGCAGGTCATCACACAGCCAGTGCAGTTCATCTATCACAGATGATGAGGCACTGTATGAAAACCATCAGGGCTGGGTCAATTAGCAAGAAGCAGGTTTTATAGAGCCCTTGCTGTGGGTATAAGCCCATGGGCAGCACAGACCTTCAGCAGCTACTGATTTCTCACTGATGTCAAACAAGCAGGTGAAAGCGCTTTCTTCCATCTGCCCACAAGAACCATCTGTGGCTTTGGTCTCATCTCCTAGAACTGCCATTTGCTTCTGCAAGAGCCCAAGGCTTTCAGTGGAGGACATCCCATTCCTTATTCACAACTGGGGTTGGATGCAGCTTTTGGTGTTGGATATCAGTAGTCATGAGCAACGGAATGGGTATGAAGAGCTCCCTGAAATGGGAGGCATATTCCACCAGAGAGAAGGTCTGGCATGTTTTTTCCCATGTGCAGTGTGAGGTGTGATGACTGCATCACCATTTCAGCCTTCAGGAGATATGAGGCAATTTGGCATAGCTGTATCCTCTCTCGCTGCAAGCTAAATGATGTCAAAGCTAACCTCTGAGCCAAGGTTTGGATCACACTTGGGCACTTGCTGCTACCGAGGTGCTGTGTGATGACTTGCCAGTCTACAATCACGTGTTGGAGCCTCTTAACATGGGTAAATCTGGGGCAACTCCATAAAAGTCAATTTCACCGGTGCAACACATCGGCACTGAGCTCTTTGCACACTTATCAGCCAGGCTAGGCCTGTTAGTCATCTGTTGTTCAAAACCAGACCGGAAAAAATACAAGCCTGGTTGGCATTCATTGAAATAAATGCTTCAAGCTGAGATTTATGGGAAACGGGCTGTGTAATGGGAAACAGATCTTTCCTTCAGAGCTCACGTGCCACTAGATGGTTTTACTATGTTCCACGTGTCCTTGCCAGTCATCTTTTGTCATGGTCAGCACATTTATCTTTTATTAACATGCTTTGGAAAGTCATGTTTAGCTGAGGAATTTTTTTTATTTAGAAAGAATCTTCCTTGCGACTGAGTCAACATAGAAGGCTCATGTAGCATATCAGGAAAAAAAGCATTTATGAGAACTGCTGTGTGCTCACCACACATTGTGACTTCCAGCAAATGCCCCAGCAAAGCTGCTGTCCCAGCACTTGGTGGCTGGGCACCAGAAGGACTTGGAGGTGTTCAAGGCCAGGCTGGATGGGGCCCTGGGCAACCTGATCTAAAACTCGATCTAGTTGTCGACAACATTGACCATGGCAGGAGACTGGAACTAGATTTTTGAGGTCCTTTCCAACCCAAGCAATTCTATGGTTCTGTGATTCAATGACTTTGCCTCCTCTGCTGCATAGGTGTTTGCTGGTCCTAGCATGTGTCAGGCCCAGCCCAGGGAGTTCCCCTACTGCATCCCCAGGTCTGGGAGCCAGCCCATAGCACAGACTGCTCCTACAATAGCATGGCGCTCCTGTGCCGGCTGGTGTTGGTTCTGGATGTCTGCAGTCATTTCTCTATGATTAGATTTGTAAGATGCTTTTCAAAGAACTTCTGAGCACTCCCTACCTATCTCACAAAATAGGGTCCATAGCAGACTCGGAAAACTGTTCATTATCAGGTATGGGATGTTCCTGTCAATATTAAAGGACTAGGATCAGATCATTTGCTAACCTACCTTTTCTTTCCTCCCAAAGAATACTGTGGATCCGAAAACCTACCTTCTCAATGTTCTGCCTTTCAACACATCTATTAGTGCTGGTTTGCATGCCAAAACCTGTCCATGAACACCAGATTTGGACTTGTCTCAGGCCAGAAGAATTTTGGAAGTAGCACTGCCCATAGCAGGAAGAGTTAGACAGCATTGATGAAGGCTGAAAGGAGCCTGGAGTGATTTGCACTGCTCTCATACCAGGAGGCACCTTCTCACCCTGCTCTTGAGCTGTACAGTATTGTCAGGCTTTCCTCAACAGAGGCTGAGATTTCACCAACCTGGGAGGGAAGCATAGAAGATATTTCATTGCTGAAATGACAGTCCCCAAGAGAGGGCAACCAGACCTGCTGAAGTATGCCAACAGGAGAAAGTGTGTCTAAAAAAAGGACATGGAGCTCTGTTTAAAACATTGCCCACACAAATCAATCTTTATTTACATTTATTAACCAGTGCCTCTCTCTTTTGTGAGACTGAACACCATCATATGGTCACTATGGTCACTATGGCCTGTGAGCAGGAGGTTTGCTAGATCCAGACAACTTTCCCACCAGATTGCAGCAGTTTTTAAGTTAGTGAGATGAAGAGTTAAAACCCTGGCATATCTCTGACAACGGATGTTCCCCAATGAACATAAATCTGTCACTCACTTTGCAGTCCCCCTGAGGTCACGGACCACAGATATGCACAAGACAGCAATGGAAGGGGAGGCAGCTCTGTATGGATGAGCACATTAGTCATTGCAGTTCACAGGGTTATTTTTAATGTCTTCTGCAGGGGGACTCTTTCACACTGTATTTCTAAAAGGAAAAATGAGCTTGACATTGCCCTCCTTTTCCACTGTGAGAGAACAGAGTGTCTGCCAGGAGAAGTGACACCCACCCTGTTGCAAAGGGGCTTAAAGCCAAGCAAGTAGGAATTCAAGAAGCCAGCAGTGCAATCCTCTGCCTCACCTCTGCTCTGCTGGCTGCTGCATAGCTAAGCACAGCTACCTGGGCCTCGGCTGATCCACCACCAGGTATCCCATCCCAAAGCTTCTGCATTTGACCCTAGAGGCATTCCTACCAAAGCCATAGCACTCCAGAAGCCATCTTGCCCTGTAGCCGATTCAATAAATTTGCTGAAAGAGCTCTGGATGTCTTCTGGCTTCATTTGCTCAGGTAGGGACATGTGTGCTCAAACATGTAAGGCTGATGATGCAAGGCTCTGACCATGGAGAGGTCTTTTCACACAGGAGTGTCAGTGGCATCTCCTGCTTTTATCAGTCTTGCCATTCTACTGTTGGTGTTGTTGAGGTTATGCACGAGTAAATCCAAGATCAGATCTGAGAAATACTTTTGACAAAGGGTCAGACTGGCTGTGGCCACGAAAAGGGAGTTCTTTGCCATAAACAAGGAGTACCATGAGCCCAGGTGAAACCTGCAGTTGAAAGGTATAAAAGTCTACATGGGGAAAAAAGCAATTTTGCTGTAGACACTAGGAACAACACACAATTTCATAGGCAAAGACAACTGAAGTGCAGACTCTTTGCAAGTACCAGTGCTACCAGCAGCAGCCCTGTGCTCTGAATCTGAGATGTGAAGGATGGGGGAGTGGACAGGGTGGCTCCCGCTCACAGCATTATTTCCAGTAAACTCACAGTCCCATGTTATATCAAAGTAATGATGTCTTTACCCTCCTGGTGTGCTAGCAGACCAAGTGTGCTGTCCCTGTTTCTGTGAGGAGGATTCTACCTCTACCCAAAGGTAGCCATGCACCAGCAGGAAGTGAAGGCTGTAGGACATAGAATCATAGAATCATTGAGGTTGGAAAAGACCATTAAGATCATCTGGTTCAACTGTTGATTCACCATCAGTATGTTCACTGTACCACATCCCTAAGCGACACATCTCCATGTTTCTTGAAAACCTCCATGGACAGTGACTCCATCACCTCCCTGAGCAGCCTGTTCCATGTGGCTTTAGGATAAGCAATTTCCTACCAGATGGAGAGGGCAGAGGTAAATAATCTCTAGGGCCTGGCCTGGCCTGGAGCACAGCCCTGCACAAAGCCATGGATTAGAGTCAGCAAGCAGCAAGCAGCGGGCTCTCTTAGCTTCTGGAGAGACCCCATCACTGTCAGCATGACATTTCTCTTTTAAAACCCAGTAGATGTGTTACTCAGATTAGGGAGAAAATTGGCAGAATGCAGGAAACATTTCTGAAAGGTTTCAATATCAACAGAAGTTTCAGCTTATTGAGGCAATTTCCTAACTCTTTTAATCTAACCTTTCAACCCAGCAGTTTTATCCTGATGGACAGGGAAACACTTCAGAAATGATTAGATTCTCCATCGCTAGCTGCTTCTATGGGAAAGAGGAGGTTGGCTACAGGAACAAATGAACAATAGTAATATCCAGTAAATCGTTCCTTGCCATTTAATTGCATAATGCCACAAATCACACCAGTGTTGGATCTGTCCACATGGATTGCAGGGGCTGAACTCTGGCTTTTCCCAGCGTCTGTAAAGGAAAAACATTTCAACACTGGAGAAAATCTGGGAACAGAGATACAGATCTGTCTCTTTGTTCTTAAATTCACCACCAAATGCTTGAATTAAATTAAATGCCAATCTCTCCTCTACTATTTAGTGAAAGCAATGCCAAATAATTGTTTGAGATACAAAAATTCCACCATAATCCCTTTAAGATCAAAATATCCACGGATATTTTATTTAAAAGCTATGACAAGTTTCAGGTTCTCACAAAGCTTCTGTCCCATTTGCTTTATTTATTTTTCCAGGAGGTCAAGTTGGTGTCAGAAGGGGAGCAGCCAGGTCTTGGTGCACCAGTTCTTGTGCACGTGTGTTAAACAAGAGAAGGCAAGAAGGCAGCACCCACAAGAAGACCTGGCCACTTGCAGTAAGGCCTCACCTCCAGTGCCGTATTGCCCATTGACCTTGCTTATCGTTGATCCCCAGCCACTGGGGATTGTGACTTATTGCTGGAAATTCTGGTGTGTCTAAAGCAGAGCATGGCTTCCTTTTGGCTCCCGTCATTGCTTCCTTTGGGTTGTCAATATGTATGTGCTCTTCTTTTTCTGAGAGGAATTAGGTGACTGATTATTCCAGACGTTATCAGAAGAAGTGATGTTAAAGGGAGAAGTGGCCCTGCTTTGTACTCACAGGGTTTTGCAGGAGACAGCCTGAGCTGCTTAGACCATAGGCAGAACAGCCTTTAAAAGGATGGAGCAATTTACATACTGAAAAGAGCGAAAAAGCCCACTGATCAGATGCAAAACAAACCAGTATAAGGCCTTTGCTGTCCTTCAGCAGGAAAATCTGCTGCACAATCCCAAAGGCTCAGCCCTACACAGACAGATTTTCTTTCTTGGGGAATGGAGCCTGTGCAGCTTTTTAGGGCATTTGGGAACGTTAAGCTTTCTTCCTGTTTATCAGTCTGCTCTGCTTCACACACAATCTGCATGGTGAATTACAGAACCACTTTTATAAAGATATAGAAAAGAATGAGATGAGAAAGTGTTGGCAATGCGTAAGGCTCCATCCCTTCTCCCCAACATCACCTGCTCCCAGACCCCAGGGCACTGTCAGGCTTTCCTCTTTGAATGATGGAAACCGATGGGGAGCTGGGTCACACACAGGCATTCAACTACAGATCAGGAATTCATCAAGTTGGCTTTGGAGCCCCTGCTCCAAAGAATGAAAGAGATAGATAGATAGATAGATAGATAGATAGATAGATAGATAGATAGATGATAGACAGACAGACAGACAGACAGTAAAATAGGCATACAGATAGATGGGTATAAAATTCAGAATCTTAGTTGACTATGACACCCCAAAAGACTTGAGTGATTCTTAGACTTTTCAAATGCCATTTGAATGATGCAACTTCAGAGTTCAACCTTTGAAACCCCATCAGCTGCCTCATCCTGGTACACCTGATGTCTGCAGGCTGCTCAGATGCTGACATTTAGATCAGTGATTTTCCATCCATGCTTCACAGCCCTGAGACCTTGGACGGGGATACAGAAGTTTCTCCTGTGAATGCTGCTGTATTTCCTGTTTTCTGGGATAGAGGGAAGGAAAGAGGGCATGAATGATGAGTACTACCCGGGAGTGAGGAGACTTGAGGTGAATCCTGCTTCAGGGGGCAGCTAGTGTAAAATACACAACCTCTCCTTCCTCTGAGAGGGGACTGAAATCAGATACATACAGTCATGTCTGGACCATGGAGACGTATTTATTTGCACGCACTGCATAGCCCATTGAATATTTACTTTTCTGCACATACAAAGACAGGAAATCATTAGGAGATGTTTTTGTTTACAGGGAATATCAAACTCCAGAACACTTCAGCATAGTGAATTAGGTTAAAACGAGGCAGAGGGGAGAAATTACTGCCAAACAGTAAATGACTGTGCTCCTTCCAGCCCTGTTGTGCAGGTGGGAAGGGGAGGAGAGGGAAGGGAAGAATGAAGAGAAGAATGAGGAACTCGTGGTTGCTGCAGCAGATGAAAAAGACTCCAAGGCAGCACCCACGGCTCATCAGCCTTAAAAGCTGTGGGGAGGAGCAGGGGCACCCAGTGATAGAAGAAGTGCTTGGGTTTTGCTTTTTTCTAGCTGCATCACTTCCCTGGTGGCACTATGTTGGTGTTGACAGGTGCTCTCAAGCATCAAAATATTACCTTGCTCATACGGCTTACAAAGCTGAAATGTACAAGCCCATGTTCCTATGAGCCTCCTGACTGGAGTCAGCAGAGGTTGAAACCTGGGTGCATTTACCGAAGTCGTTTGCCTGGGATCAAATGTGAGCTTTTGAAGTGAATCTCTCTATTCTCCCCATTTACTACTTCAGCTCATATCCAGGAATGGTCCCAGTGCAGTTAATGAAGTCTCTAGATGAACGAACTGCCCTGGAGCACACTCTTGAAGGGCCTTCACTCAAAGCAGTCCAAGGTATCCCCCATACACACTTCTCACCAATACCACTTCAAACACATCACAGCTTCCTTTGCTTTCAGCACCTACCTCCCAGATTTTTCCTTCCTTGTCACAGAGTGCAGATTTCCAGGAGCACTACCAAGCAAATCTTTCACTCCTTGGGGCAGCAGGATATAGCTGCTGTGGGGCTGGGAGGTCGGCTCATATGTAACCCACACAGGCCCTAGAGGGATCTGGCAGGTGACACATGCTCTTCAACAACAAACTCAGCTCAATGATTTCCAAATCTCCATTCTCGTTTGGACCGCAAGATCACGATGCTGATGCCAAGAGTGTGTTGCGCTGATTTGACTTGGTCGCTTAAGGCAGTGTTTCAGGACATGGGGCTGGGTTTCTTTGCAGGCATGTGAAAATGGAAGAAAGGCCAAGGGCTCCCTCTGCATCCTCTGCTGAGCATAACTCCTGTCCTAGCTGGAACAGCCTGGCTGAGGCCATGTGCCTGTCACGGTGTTTGGTGCCGCAGTCCTGCAGTGCTGATATGGAATTGCCTCCAGCTCCCTTGGAGGCAAGAGAAGACGCATCCAAAGGAGATCAGAGCATCCTGCTGAAATCTCTGCTGTTCTGCACTTCTCTAGGAGGACTGAGGTGTTTTGTTTTCTGAGGAACCATGTGTCTGCATCAGGCTAGATCCACTTTGGTGTGGCAGGAGGCATGAAGGGCTCTTTGTGCTCTTTTGGACAAACTGAGCTTAAGCACTGCTTGCAGAGAGCCTGGAGATTCTGTACCATGGCACATGGTACAAAAATGCAAGATCTTAATTTTACGCATCCAAGATTTTCTGTGGGTGTAGGGCCCTTAAGATAACTTGTTAATTAAATGTTGAATCATTGCAGGAGATAAATAGCTCCTATCTTTTGCTGCACAGGGTGACACCAAATAATTTGCAAAATGAAGAACAACACTTTGGAGAAATGAAATAGATAGAGGCACCTCTTTCCAACAACCTGTTTGCAGAGGGATGTCAGAGTGGTGTTTATTTCTTAGGTGTAAATGCAGCAGTGCAAATTCACAACAAGACAAAGGCCTAGGAGCCTTCTGTTCTTCTACTTAGGGCTACATCTCTTTGTGTAAGTCCTGAGGACTGGTGTAGGGAACCTGCTTTGGCAGGGGGGTTGGACTCGATGATCTCTGGAGGTCCCTTCTAACCCCTACAATTCTGTGATTCTGTGAGATGGCACCTGGCTCCCTATCCTGTGCTGAAATGGGGCTGGCAATAACATCCCTCTGAGCACAACCCTGCCTCAGGCAGCTGAGGTCTGGAGTAGACCAGGAAATTGCTTCACTGTACAATTTTAACAACCCAAAATTAAACTTGATGGAAACTGAATCATTTTTCCTGAGTGAACTTCTGCTTTTCAAAATAAATGGCTGATGTTTTACTTTCTGGCTTTGGTTTTTAGTTTTGGTTTGTCTGCTTGAGATTTTGCCCTTTTTGCATCAATTTGAAACAAGGTATTTTCTGCAGCCTTCAGATTTCCCTAAGGACAAGCCCAACACCTCAGCATGTCCAACTACAGCTTTCCCAGCACCTGCATGTACAAACTGCTTTTCTAAGAATTCCTGTGAAAACGCACTTTTGATGTGAGATGAGCACACAGCAGATAGGACAGGGTTCTGGTGATACAAGTCCCACCTAGGGCAAATACCCTGCACTCCGTTTTCCCTGCCTTGGCCACAAACCTCTCCATGTACCCGCTGCCAGCACAATGTTCGCTGGCTTGCCTGCTAACAAATGACCTGAAACACATTTGCAGGCCCAAAATAATGCTCATGGCGTGGCTCCAGCCCATCAGCCCATCCTGGAATCCCTCCCAGCAGCTGCAGGCCACGGCCTGCCCTTCTTACAGGAAGGGCCCAGCATGGCTGTGGGGAGAAGGCCTCCCTAGGCAGGATCCATTTCACCTAAGTATAGATGCCCACAGCCTGCGGCTGAGCTCACTGGCCATGGTTCCCTCCTGGAGGCCAACAAGCACTTCCAGAGGGTATTTTGTCTTGCCCCACATTAGATGACGGTCAGAAGAAGCAGCCCAGAAGCACCAGTTGTTTCTGTTGAGTAAAAAGGTGTTACAGCTTCTTGCTCTGATATACAGCCCCAGCTCTCCTGTTAGGTGCTTAAACATGGGCACCGTGTCTGCTTGGCCCAACCTCCTTCTTGCACGCCCTGCTCCAAGCAGATCTGCTGCTGGCACCACAGCCCCTTTGGAGCTGGAATCGAGCAGCTCACAGGGAAAGCCTTGCTCAGCCCATTCCTGCACAGGGCTTAAGGAGAAATGTGGGGGGAGCATGGGCTGGCTGCTTGTGGGCACAATCACTAGGGCACACTCATAGGAAAATTCACAGAGCTGCCATAGTGTTACAGTTCTGTCAGCACACACACTATATAGGATCACAGAATCATTAAGGTTGGAAAGCCCACTAAGATCACCTAGTCTAGCCAGCAGCCCTGCCTGTGACTGCTCTCGATATGTCACAAACTCAGTGTGACATTTACCCTTTTCTTGAACACCTCCAGGGATGGTGATTCCCTCATCTCCCTGGGCAGCCTGTGCCAATGCATCACCACTTCTGAAATATTCCCTAATATCCACTTAATGCCTTCTGTCATGCAGATAACCTTGTGAAGACTTGGGTTTTACTTGTCTGCTTCTAACTAATAAAGCAAAAGGCACAGCTCTAACATCCAAGTGTTTTCTACACCGATTTCCTAACCCCTCTTTGAAGGCATGGGATTGTAAGGCCTTCTCCTCTACAGGGCTCTATTTAGCCCAAAAGAAGAATGTTCTGCTTCCTCATCTGAAGACTGATGGACTCCGTACTGAACCAAATAACTGAGCATGTCCAATGTTATCCCAATTAAAATCTAACAAAGGTTAGGGAACTAAAACTCATCTCACACTAATGGCAGTCGTATCACTACTGGTTTAACCATGTGCCAAATGGGATGACCTTCTCACTTACGACATATAATTGATAAGGAAACAGTAACAGGAAGTTTCCAACTGCTAGAAACAAAGCAGATCCCAGAAAAGAAAGTTTTTTATTCATACCCCTACGTCTCATTTCTACAAATCCCCCGCCACACCGCTAACATGGTACCAGGGGCAGAAAGCCCCACTGTTCTCAACCTGCCATGCCTCAGTGACCCAAAAGCTTCTGCACTGAGTCACTGATGTTGCTTCCACTTGCCAGGAAGAGCATATAATTGCTCACTGCCAGCATTTCAACCATGTTCCTAAGAACTGGGAATGCTGTCAGGACATTCGGAATATTCAACTTCAAGTGCTGTTGCTGACAGTTTCCATTTTAGGCTCGGTTACATCCATGCCCACACTGAAGGAGCAGAAATGTTTTCCTGTTAAGATAGAGCAGCCCTGCTTTTGGGAGGCCACGAAAAGCCTCCAAAATGGGGCTTAGGCACCTACTACCTGTTTTCATTTTTAGCAAATTGCAGTAGCTAGTACTAGTGTTTAATCCTTTCTAACTGTTGTGCCTTTGAAGGCACCTCAGGTTTCTGCTGGGACAAGTCAACAGCAATCTTGAAAGAAAGTTTCTTTTTTAAAAGCTCTGTCTTACCTGATCCAAATCCAGCAAATGCTTTATTCCCACTGACTGTGGCTGTGCCAGAAATTCGAGACTGGACATGGAAGAGGAAGGTGACTTTTAAAGGAATTTGGAGTTTGGGTTTGTTTTGCTGACATAATAAAGAAAACAGTTAAGCTTTTCCTCATTTATTTGTAAAGGTTGTTCATTTCCTTCTTATATTTCATTGGAAAAAATGGGAGGAAATTCAGATTCTCACACCCTTAGTGTTGGGAAAATTCATTAGCAATCCCAGAAAATGTTTTTGTCACAAACACTGTTAGACATTTTAAAAGAAAACAGCAATTCTACAATATCCTGTTCTATTGATTGTTTTCTACGCTTAATCATAAAATCATAGGTTGGAAAAGACCTCTAAATCATCCAGGCCAACCATCCACCTACCACCAATATTGCCCACTAAACCACGTCCCTCAGTGCCACATCTCCATGTTTCTTTAACACCTCCAGGGATGGCGACTCCACCACCTCCCTGGGCAGCCTGTGAGAGTGCCTGTCCACTCTTCCAGAGAAGTTTTTCCTAATGTCCAACTTGAAACTCCCCTGGTGCAACTTGATATTACCAGCTCTCCGGCTACTCCACAGTCGGAACATCTTCCTAAATTTCTAACAATACAGGGGAAAGATAGGCATTTTTTATGTGTGTGTGTTAGTATTTCAAGTTATCCTTATGCATGCCACAAAAAAAAGAAAAAGAAAAAAAAAAGTAAAAACAAATATGAAAATCCCTTAATCCACGAGACTTTGTTTGTTTAGCATTTTTAGTTTAGCCTCAAGGTTCATGGCCAAGATAGGAAACCAGACAAATTTTTTGGCTGGCTCTACTGCAGAGTACCAGGTTAACTGTGGGAAGATAAATAATCCTCCATAGTTTTTCCATCTTGTCATATGTATTGCATACATATCTATTATCAGACAGAAACACAGAGCTTATAAATGACTCCAATCTCTTTGATCTCGGTGCCTGATGAGGTGTCTAAAACAAATGAGTATTGTTTCCTTGAAATGGAGGTTAACAAAACTGCTCTGGAAGAGCCCAGGGAGGCAACAGGTCTTTGCCAGTGGCACACGCTGAACACCCAGCCAGCTAAGGGCAGCTCAGGTGGGCTAAAGAGAAAAGGAAACAGTTAAAAGGAAAAGTAAAAAAGAAAGAGCAACATAAAAGGATTTAAAAAATCATGCTAAATGCAGACGATACAGGTTTCATTCTCACTGATTACTGCACAAGGCATTACAAGTCAGTACTTTAAAGGTGATGGCAGTCAATCTGGTAATGACTGCCCTGAAAGGAAATGGGCCCACTCCTAACTGCTCTGCAGAACTGAGCGTGCAAATGTGTACCTTGCAAACATGGGAAAATTGAGCTGGTTAATCTGGCAAGTGCAATACTGTTCAGAAGAGCCTTGTTGCTCACCTGTCTCAGCCAAAACTGTTGCTCTGGGCACAGCCACACAAACAGCTTGCTGCCCGATCCAACCCAGTCTGCACGTTGCCAGCCTGGAAATAGGAGGAAGCAGCATCGAGCCAGGCTTGGGACAGTGTCCTGTCTCATTGCTTAAGGAAATTTGTATGTTGTAAGATGGAGAGCAGAGACAGTACCACCAAGCTGTTATATTAAAGGCATCTGAAGGGATTTTGTGAAATCTACACCAGCACAGCAGAGGACACCCGAAGCTCCCTGTGATTTTGCCTCTCCCTCTCTGCTTACAGCAACACAGCCTCTTCCAGCAAAGGCAGAAGGTGGAGCCAGATGGATCTGGGGCTCAACTGACCACTAAAGACACACTGTCAGCATGCAGTAGGAGAGGTTTGCAAAGCAAAATAGCAATTGGTGACCACACACTGCCCTCATGTACACATTTAGGAAAGTTATTCCTACTTCTAGTTGGGTCCTTGGGACCAAAGAGTCCAGATGGCTCTATTGCATCTCCGGTGGGACCTACACATGGGAAATGGAGATCAGAAGATTAGCAGTGGAAGTGCCCCCCATGCTATGCTGAGCCACCGATGAAGACAGGCCTGTATTTCTCTTTCATTCCCCATGATAAAGATGAATTTACCACATCATTCAATATAGAAATATGTTTTCTTTTCAGGTAAGGCATTACAACTATAATTAGCCAGCAGATCTGGACACAAGAAATTCCTCCGGGGGACCACACACAAGATTAAATATGGGAGCTATTAAAGGTCAAGGCACAGGAAGGCATAGGCAGGAAAGTAAATCACTGTAGCCTGCAGATTTGATTGCATAATGGGGGAAAGCACTGGGTAGCTGGAACTCTCAGCATTCAAGGTAAAGAAATGATTATTTTTGTTCACAGGAAGAGCTTGTTAATATACCCAGACACTGTTAAACTGAACCATTTCTATCTGCTTCTCCAAGGTGAAATCAGTGGCCTTAAATTATTATCACAAGCCAATAGTTGGAGATGCTTGGGATCATTAGCACAAATCCCCTGGACAAACTTAAAAAGCACAGAGAAATTAGCAGAGAAACAAGCTTTCAGTAATTACCCCAGGAATTTAGTAATTTTATTTTGCTTTTATGTACACTTGAAAAACCATGGGGGTCATCTCACCAAAGGACCATTAAACAGATCATTACAGGACTGGTCCTTCAGGGGAAGAAAAAGGCTCCGAGCACTGCATAGAGAGCAGGCAGATGCCTTCTTCCAGACCATCCTATTTCTCACATCCTCAGTGGTTCTCTCCATACCAAACAGGCTTGAGCGGTGGTGTCATAAATCATCCTGATTTGGCTGGTTGACTGAAATTCCCACATTAATGTGGCACTATGACCACAGAGCTACACCATGGATATAACAGTTCCAAACACCCGAACGTGGTATGATTCCTAGGTACTGGAAAGAGAGTACATCTGAACAAACAATGGTGCCTCTTAGTGAAGCAGGTGCCAAGTTTTTGTTTATGGTGATGGTTTCAAACTGAGGTTCCTGAGCATCTCAGTGAAAAGGAGCATAGAATAACCTACTGTAGAGAAGCTCCTTTAGGAGGGGGCTGGACTAGATGAGCTCCAGAAGCCCCTTCCAACCTCTATGATTCTGTGCTAATATCAGTGGCTTATTTAAGGCTTATTCCACTGAACTTTGCTGAGTGTTTTGATGATGCTTGTTACCTACTCATCCTTGAGATATCTTTTAGTTTTGACTTCCTAGGCAAATTAGGGTATCTACTCATCTTACCTTTTAAGGAGGCATTTGAAGGAGCACCAAGGAATGGCTGAAGTCTTCCTCTGATACAATGAGACTTCTGCTGTTCACTGCAGATATAACACATGTCAAGAGTAGCTCTTTAAAAAAACCTATACTGCAAATCAGAATTTCTACTGACTTCGGGAATCTCTCCTGAGTAACAGTAAATAAGAATGACCTTGTTGTTATACAGCCAGCAGGCAGATCTTATTCAGGGTGCAGGGAAGCAGCACGCACTGAAGATGTTCTGTTCTTTACGTCACCATATCCTCACTGAGTGACTCAGTACAAGTTTGGATTAGATCAGTATGGTATTCTTCACTACAGCCAAAAGCAGATGACTGCGTGGAAGTATGAAAATATTTGTTGAATATTCTCCTTCCAGCAACTTGTAGCTCAAGGACTTCCCAGACTGTAAGAGGCGTCTTTAACAAACCCTGACAGATTCCTCTTTCATGAGTTTAGCTGTATCTCCTTGACTCCATATAAATAAATTTTTAGCATCCACAACATCCTTATATGAATCAAATTTAGTCTCCAAATATCTATGACTAATCAATCCTTTAAGCAGCTCCATTTATATTTGAACTCCCACTGCAATACTTACTATTAATTTGTCGTCATTAACTTTCATTGCTATTATTTTTACTCTCAGAGGTGTGTTCTACAAATGGCTGTCCAGAAACATGGGCACGTGATTTTCCTTCACTTTAACTTCTCATTGGATTAAAATAGTTTCATAACAACAGAATGTAAAAGGGTTACAAGGAAGATCAGAAATATAGTAAGGGCTGAAAAATTGGATCGGGGGTTTAAGAATGAACCAAAGAACTGGTGCAATATGGAAAGTGACTACATGCAGTCCAGATGTTGCTGTTGGGACGTAAAATAAGAATATAGATAACAAGTCACAGTAAAATCCCTCCCTCTTCATGACTGAGGGTTTCAAACTGTCACAATTAAGGGCACATAGTGATTGATGGGAAATGTGGTTGACACACGCGTGTGTATACACATGCACATGCCCAAACAGTCAGGAATCCCTGATGAGATTACTGACACATATCTAAGAGAAAAATGCTTTTTCTGTACTCTGCATTAAATCTAACAACCACAGGGATCGGTCATTTACAGTCTCTTTTCATTAGGTAATGCCTAAGTGCCCCCTGAGCGTGCTGTGTTTTCCTGACCTTAAATTACAGGCTGCCTTGTGTACTCCAGTGGAGCAAGCTCAGCTACAATGCAGAAGTATCAGTTTCACAGAATCACAGAATCACAGAATCACTCGGGTTGGAAGGGACCCCAAGGATCATGTAGTTCCAACCCCCCTGCCTAGCAGGGCCACCAAACATACACATTCAGATCAGGTTGCCCAGGACCCCGTCCAACCTGGCCTTAAACACGTCCAAGGACGGGGCATCCACAACCTCCCTGGGCAGCCCGTTCCAGGGCCTAACCACTCTCCTAGTAAAGAACTTCCCCCTAACATCCAACCTAAATCTTCCCTCCCTCAACTTGGATCCATTTCCCCTAGTCCTGCTGTTATCAGCCCTTTTGAAGAGTTTACTCCCCTCCTGGGTGTAGGTTCCCTTCAGGTATTGATAGGCTGCAATGAGGTCACCCCGCAGCCTTCTCTTCTCCAGGCTGAACAAGCCCAACTCCCTCAGCCTGTCCCCATAGGGGAGGTGCTCCAGCCCCCTGATCATCTTAGTCGCCCTCCTCTGGACCCTTTCCAAAATCTCAATGTCTTTCTTGTACTGAGGGCTCCACACCTGGACACAGTACTCCAGATGGGGCCTCACAAGAGCCGAGTAGAGAGGGACAATCACCTCCCTGTCCCTGCTGGCCACCCCTCTCCTGATGGAGCCCAGGATCCCATTTGCCTTTCGAGCTGCCAGAGCGCACTGCTGGCTCATATTCAGTCTCTCGTCCATCAGGACCCCCAGGTCCTTCTCTGCCGAGCTGCTTTCAAGGACCACTCCTCCCAGCCTGTACAGGTGCCTGGGGTTCTTCCGGCCCAAATGCAAAACCTTGCACTTTGCCGTGTTGAACCTCATCAGGTTCACCCGAGCCCAGCCCTCCAGCCTGTCGAGGTCCCTCTGAATGGCATCCCTTCCTTCCACCGTATCAACCGCACCACTCAGCTTGGTGTCGTCAGCAAACTTGCTGAGGGTGCACTCAATTCCCTCATCGATGTCATTAATAAAGATGTTAAAGAGCACCGGTCCCAAGACAGACCCTTGGGGGACACCACTTGTTACCGGCCTCCACCTGGACATAGAGCCATTGACCACCACCCTCTGTCTGCGGCCTTTCAACCAATTGCTTATCCATCGGGTCGTCCACCCATCAAATCCACTTCCCTCCAATTTGGAGATGAGGATGTGGTGGGGGACCATGTCAAAGGCCTTGCTCAGGTCCAGGTAAATGACATCGGTTGCCTTCCCTTCGTCCACATATTCAATTAATCGTCACATATTCAATTAATATATTTCTTCAGATCCAGCCAAAATCGCTGCTGCCTGAGCTAGGCCTTAAATACTGTGTGTGAATTAGCTTTACTAAAAATGTAGCACACAATATGAACAGATGATTCACCATTCATTTGTGAAACACCCAAATTAGTGAAATCAGCATTTTAACTGAGACCCAAATAGTGATGTATATAGAGTTCCATGTTATTAGTGCTGTACCATACAACAAGCAGAAGGTTATGCAAAACAAGCAGAAGCTTCTAGAGCTACAGAGATATCCACTGTAAGCCCTAATTACCAAAGAAAATATCTTCACAGGGCTTAAATTTAACTCTACTGCTCTCCAGATCTTCGGATGAGCTAGCTGTTATTAATGTCAAAAGGTGATGCCTGTCAGCCAAGAACTACACCGGAGTCCGTAATTGAATTTCTAGAGTTGTCAAGAGGAGTCTAATAAAATAGCTGCTACTGGGAGTGATGCATGCGAAAAAAAAAGCTCTGGTCTGGCAAGATGCAAAGTATGTTGTGTGGTTTCCCAATGTCATTTCAAATAATATGTTCAATTTTTCTGAGCTGCATTTGCCTGGCATTCTTCTCCCGTATAATAATGATTCATTATATATAATTTATTCAAAGACTATAACTCACCTCTAAGTGCTTATAAATATTACTGGAGCTAGACATCTGCATTGTAAAACAAATGCGTAACACGGGGATTTATGAAGGATCCTTTTACATCAGTTCCTTGATTGAAAAGAGAGATTTTTCTGAAGTAAAACAGACCTTGAAATCATCTTAAAAATCTGCCACAGGAAACAATTAACAGCTCTTCCTTCCCTGTGTTGGCTGGGTAATTTGACAATTTAGGGAAGGGTTGAGTACCAAATATTCCTTGCTCAGGTTAAATGGATAATGCTATACTGCTGTTTCATCAGTATTACTGGGAACGTTCCCATGGTTATAACAGCCATGCATAACATCTGCCCTCCCACTGCTTTGCAAAAGCGTGAGCCATTTCTTAGTGGTGGTGGCAGGCTGACAGATGCCACTGCCATGAGGAAAGGTTAAAGCAAAATATAATCCCGTCTGGAACAAAGGCTGCAGACTGTGGCACCACAAAAGTGTTAAGGAAGGGGTGTGGGATGCTGGCAAATTGGTATGTGAGTATGTAGCAATTCTAAATCCAATGCGAGATGACAATACTCAGCCAGGATACAGCGAGGCATGGGAAGCTGGTATTGTAGTGATGTCCTGACCTGGCTCGCTGCCTCCCTCACTGGGTGGGTGTTCAGTGTAGAAAACAGACCGAGGCGTATTTGTTCTCTTCTGTGCCAATGAGAATTAGAAATCACAAATTTAAGTTCCAGTAAGGAACAGTTATATCGGACAGCAAGAAAAGATTTCTAATAGGATGGCCAAGAACTATAACAGAACCCCCATGGAGGCTATGACATCTCCAGCACTCTGTCCAGCCACACTTTTACAAGCAGGTTAGAAAAATGACTATGAGAGAGAACATACAGGTATAATTACAGCCACTGCAAGAAAAATTCACTGGCCATGCTCAAAGATCTCTTCAGTCTGCCTATGTTCAGTCACCTTTTTCAGCTCTGGGCCCTGCCAAACGTTACAGCAGCAACCTCTTACCAGTAACACCCTGTCCACGACAGTAAGAGTTGCTACCAGTGGGACACAGGCCAGACGTTCTGGCTTTAGGCAGGACAAACTGGTCTTCACAGACCCCAGCCAGGTCTGCATTCTCTTATTTTGCTAACTTACCAGAAGAAATCTTAACAATTTTCCTGTGTTGAACCTTCATTAGGGCTGAAGATCTGCACTCAGTCTGATGATTGTTAAATTCATGACCCTCCATATGGCAGCTTTAGCAGTGTTCAGGTCAAGTACCAGGCTGCAAGCCAAAAATACAGAAATACAATCAGTTTCCTGCACAGTGCTCCATCAAGTGGAGATGAAGATTCCTCAGCATTCAGTTAAATATGCAGTGGTTGGCTCATGATACCAGGCTGTGCAACAGGAAGGCTGTCCTGACTTCAGTCCTCTGCTACTCTCTCCAATGTCTGTGGCAAGTCATTTGTTCTTTCCTTTGTGCCTTTGCTCTCCATCTGCAGAATGGGATTAAACAAGCTTCCTAATTGCATCAGGACTCCGTGAGAACAGAGAGGATCAGGTACTTCCTTTGCCCATGTACAGTCTTACCATTAGCTGCTCTGAAAGGAAATAGGAGCATAGTTACATTCCTGGTTTCATAGTTATTTACACAGGGTTTTAGCTCAGCTTGCACTTTAATTCCATGGAATCCATCCTTTAAATCCAATCTGCTGCTTTTGCACAACCTAGAGAACAAACCTAGAGAACGGTAATTTCTGCAGGTTAGCAGATTTTTTTATTGTACTGAAACATATTTTACATAGGCAATGGTTACACTGTACTTGTTCCATCACTAAAATACTATTGTAATATTTTCCATTGGCTTAAAAAAGAGAAATAATAAAAAAGATAATTTCATTTATTTTATATATATATATATATAATGCTTTCTATTCATTTTGTTCTATATTATAAAGGCAAATTTG